TGATGTCACCCATTGGTTTGTGAACTGCTGTTTTGAAGTCTCGAGTTCGGCATTGTGTCCGTTGCCATCTTGTCACAGAAGTAACATGTGTTGATGGAGCTAAGTACAACAGAGCGCTGAACAACACCTTTTCATCCAGACTCGTCGCATACTGACGCTTGGTCAGACCTTTTGGCGTGACTTGCTAACGCACTGGTTAGCCCAGCACGTCAAACTATGATGCTCCACTGCAGTCGCAGTAGACACTTGGTTGACGTTGTGAGTTCACGCTACGTTCGGGTAACAAAACCACTTAGTAAGGTTTAGGAAAAACATCAGGGCTGGGCTTAAAATAAGTACATATTAAGTAAAACGTCTCAAACATCACTAACGCAACTTCAAAATAACTCAACAACATTTTGGGACACAAACACAGGTAGTACTGCGTTTGTTTAACCCACTACATTATCATAAAGAAACACAGGACTTTCACCCAGGAGACCGCTGTTCATGTCTTGTGTGAAACCAAGTGAACATTAACTTATTTAAACCCTAGTAACTTTCTGACTTTACCAACGATAGTTACATAACAAACAATTATTTTACGCAAAAAAAAAGGTAGTTATTTCAACCAATACCATGATCTTTTCCTAAGCTTAGCCCAGGAGCTTTGTTGCGTAAGTAAACCTAAAAGCTACGTAAACCTACGTTGGAAGTTCATTTTGAAAAGACACCATGCATGCAATGACCAGAACCTGACATGCCGTCCATGGCACATCTAAAACTGATGCTAGAGCGGAACCTGGAGTGTCATAGTTTGAAGCGCAGGGCCACTGACCAAGCGGCCATATTTGAGTTGGGAGTGAGAATATGTTGCCTTTTCATAATAACCAAGTGACCTCAACTCTACTGTAAAAGATTAACTAAATTCACCGTGCAAAACGCATACCAAAGTTGAGCCCAAGCTAATATGAGTCTCAGCTAACAAAATCACATTGGTATTTTCCTTGAGCTGCAGCAGAGGAATACTTCCTGTTAGCCAATTCACCCAAATTACAATAAAGCAATGAAACGGCTTTCTACAACCTGGGGAAATGACTCTGAAAAGAGTTTTACGAATGTCACTTTTCAAAGTTGTGAGCTCCTCAAACAAGATTGCATTCACCTCCATTATTATATATTTTCTGGGGTAGATCTCAAAAGCTGATCAAACAAAAAAAAAAACATCTGCATGGCTAAATGCCAAAAGAGATAGTTGTTAAGTGTTTTGTTTTTTTAATGAAAAGTTTAAGAGTAAGGCCATAACTTCTTAGATCTCTTGAATTGTGCAATAACTTACGCAGAGCACCTTTACAAACAATTTGATTGCATTTTCTTTAACAGTGAGTAACGCTGAAAACATTTTACTACCAGAGAGCAGAAGTTTAGCTCGGGGCTATAGATTTATCATTATCTAGCATGCCCCGACTGTGGCCTGTTTTAACCAACAAATAACACATCATTCATTATTCAATCCCTTCTGAGCTAAATTATGATTTATTGTAGATGCAGCCTTTAAAGTACGTGATATGAAATCTTTGAATTATGCATCCCTCAATTAAAATCTTCACAACACCCTTTGGTTTTTTTCTAAAGCATGTCTACCTTGTTTCTGTCTCATTCCTCGCCTACGACGTCATTGTTGGCAGAGATTTCTGTTTGGACCCTGATTGGCCCTCGCTCTCAAGGTACTGCCATAATGATAGTTATTAAGCAGCCCCTGTCTTAAATAATCAACGTTCTGACAAAAAATCTCTCCTGCGCAAGCCAAGCGTGATGGCTTCCAGCGCCATTCGCTGCGCAGAACAAGCACCTTTTTTCGCCGGAATCTGAAAACATCAAAGGTCTAGATTTAAGAAGAAAGCATTGCACAAATAAAATATCTACTCCGGATTACAATTTACACGAGCAGGAGGCAGACTCAGAGATGAGGCAGCTGCAGCAACTGACAGTCATACGTTTTAGAGTACAACCACAATGCAGGTGTTCATAGGTGCAAGGCTGGCAACACCTGGAACATTAGCAGTGACATAGCCTACTGGTGTTTATAGGAAAAACACCACGAAGCAGTTCATTAGTGCTTCAGTGATCCCCTGTCGGCGTGCGGTTTGAGGCCTTTGGAGGACGAGTCGCTGCTGTGCTCGTATCTGCAGGTCTCTCTTGTAGTCCGGTTCGCTTTTCTCTAGAAGTGTATGGTTTATATTGCTATCCAGGGAAAGAGGATGTGTGACAAAATGTCATGGAGACATGTGGCAGGGTAGGCTATATGGAAGAAAAGTGCGATTCACAATATCACACTTGCAGAAAAGTTTGTTCATCATTGATAACAAAAATAACACTTAAGTACATTATGAAACAAAAATGCGGAAAAATGCTAACTTCTCCGATTTTTCTTTTCAAACACCGCTGTCAACAGCACTGCTCAACAAGAAAACAGATACATCCTTGCTTTTGTAGTTCACAGGAGGGATGCACGGTTACATTTTGCTTTATGTATTATGGGTTTATGGATTTTATGATTCTCTTCTATTTTATATTGCCTATACGTACACTACATTGTCTTGTTAGCTGTGTTCTAAACTGATGGCAGCTGTGTGAAGGACTACTGCCCGAGCAAAATTCCACCTTGGAGAGAAGAAAGGATATATCTTATCTTAATGCTGATTTAATATGTGTAGGGTTTGGGCTGTTGGTCAGACTAAAGAAGCAATATGAATATGTCATGTTCACCAAGAGAGAATTACAATTGGCCCCATATTGTGACATTTTAAAGACAACTTAGCAACTTTCATGGGAATGAACGGGTGCCCTCCTCCAACGCTGCATCGCCTCTCTTTATACATGTTCGTGTCCTGTGTGCACCCAAAATGGTTCAAAAAGGTTTTGTTACTTACTTTTGACACGTAACTTACGTACCTTACTGATGCCATCCACGTAAGTTACAACAAACATAGATTTTTTTTAATGTAACAAACGGCTTACTTATTTTAACCCAAACTACGATCTTTTCATAAACCTAACCAAGCAGCGCGTAACACCTAACCACTTGTTGAAGTCTACTTTGACTAAGCTGCACATTGAAAAAATGACGCTAAAGTGGTTCCCGTTGCATTGGTCAGGTATCGATCAGTCTTTCCAATAAGGTTGCTGTAGAGTGTGGTCTCTGCTTTCATAAAAACATTTATTTAAAACAGCCATTTCATACAAGTTCATTCTAGTAAATTAACTAAACAATACATTAACATCAAAAGTATGCCATCTGTTTTGCTATGACAGCTGAAGTTTTTGTGTCAGTGTGCGTTCACACTTCATTATACATATGCCAGTCATAATTCTAGAGCGTAACAAACCGACGGCCTGTGTTATGTGTTGATGTAGTATCACACCAAGGTTTCATGCACTGAGCAAAGTTGTGGGCCTTGTGGTTTTGCTAGCAGCATACCTACTGCAACATGGTGACATGAAGTAAATGTAATTAGTCATTTATATTTGGCTTTTTTGTGTAAAAAGTGTCACACTAAAGGACACTGAGGCCAAAAAGATTTGATTTATTGAAAAAAATGTCAGGAGACAACTCACTTTGAAACCCTTCCATGTCCTTCTGAGATGTTCTTCCTGGTTGTACAAGGACCCCTCCTCCCAAAGGGCCACCAAAGAAATGTGCCTGCTTAAATATCAAAATATAGTGTCACACCATGTCATATTTTTTCTGGGACAAATTCGTTTTGATCAGAGACAACTCAAAATATTGTGCCTGGACTTTGAAAAAGAGCATTTTCACAATGCGACAATGGGTCCTCGGTAGTACTATGCTCATGACAGGGGAATCGCTATGATACTTGAAAAGGTCATATTACCCAGAGTGCTTGTGAACCGTACTTTCATTCTAATATTGAATGATAAACAATGTTTAATTGTTGATCATATATAAAATACTGTTTATATATATATATATATATA